CATGCACACACACACACGCACACAGGCTATCGTGTAAATTTTGATGAACGCATCCATTAGTTGTCATGGCAACAAAGACAAAGGTTAAATCGCCAGCCAGATGAGACCCTGTGAAAATTGCAGTAATATCCCAGATTATTGGCCATACTTATAATTAAAATTCCCCGCTGTCCGATTGGAAATGAGACCCCCATCACTTTACATATGCCACACATCTGTGACAATACAGGCTGCTAATTATGATGAGTGCTCAATTAACATAATGTACACTAAGGAACTCTTTGTTTTCTGTTGGATCAAAGTTAATAAGGTGCAGGTTGACACAGCAGGCATTTTCTTTTTTTTTTTTGGTTCCTAATCAAGTTTAGGTTGTTAATATGCCTTTGAAGCTCTGCAGTGAACATTTGCCACTTTAGTAATAGACTTAATTCATTTCTGGGAATGAGCAGGAATGATTTATAGCTAACAGATTACAGAGAGACCTGTCTGTTGCAGCACTGACAGCCAGTTATGACTCACTGATAGACACTTATGGACGTCTTTGATTTGAATCATTGTACATGCATTACCAATTAGAGTATCAGCTTAGTACTTTCCCCCCGTTGCTAATGGATAGCTGCAGTCTATCCCTGCACAGTGTTGAGTTACCCACTGTACTGGCCATATCAAGTACACGGACACCCAATCTAGTCATAATAAATTACAACTACAGTTGAAAAGCCAAGGTTCTATTTTTTTGTGGCCAAACATCAGAGCGTATCTGAAACCCAATATGTAGGAAAACTTGGGTCTCAGTCAAAATAAGGCACAGAATGAGTCAGCCACCTGCTGTTAAATGCGGCTCACAGTTCTTGGTTTTGCTGTAATAGTTGTTCCGTCAGTTGTATGCTGCTGCTAACTACTGACAGTGCGATTTTCAACGGTGACGAAACTGGTGAAAGGCTTTTAGCAATGTGGCACAAGATTAAAATCCAAATCCTTTTAGAAAAATTAACGTGCGACCATACACCACAGTTCTCTGTATATCATGTCAGGAGAGCCCGAGCAATGATCAGAAAAACCTTTCAGCTGGGAAGAAAAGCTGTTTGGCTTCAGAAATGTCTCAGCATTTATGGCAGATGACTGATGTGTCTGTTCTCTGTAGAAAGCTGTTACTTATCCGGGGGTATGGATCATAAGTCATGGGTCTGAGGAGGCGCACACAGCGTTAATCTTTAGAGCTGAGTCACAGTTTGATTAAGTGTGACGCCAGGTAGGAGCATTTCCGGTATTACCATTCAGGACGTACGCACCTGTAACCCCGGAGTGACATTTCAGCTAACGAGATTGAGGAGGACTGAGGCAGGAAGTGGAAATGAAGGGAAATAAAACTGAAATGTATCCTCCCCCTGAACTCATACAGATTCTGAAAATGCACTCAAGCGCTTGAGCTCCCAAACTAAATAACAGCATGTTGTATTTTCAGCCCGCCACATATGCTCGGTGATTTTCAGCTGGCTCCTCGTCCAAAAGGAAGCCACAGATGGAGAAGATGCCAATTGTCTGCTGGATGCTGCCTGTGTGCTGCTGGATTTCCTCTCGCTCTTCAGTTTGGCAGGAGATCTATTGCTGGGTGGATGTGTGCTGATATGTTGACTGTATTATTACATCAATTATTTGGCGAGGGGGAGGTCAAAGCCACACCAGCATCCTGTTTCCAGAGAGGCGTGCTTTGTGTCTAGCCCTAGGCCACAATTAAGGCGAGCAGGGAGCCCAGATTCAATCACATGCATCACTCCTGTCCAACAGAAACACACTGTTCCAAACCCAACACACACTGCTATCAGAAACCATGCCCAAAGCTATACCGCCTGATAACAAAAGCTTGAAGGAGCATGTGGCCAGACTGTGACCCCTGTAATTATTCATTATGTCAGGCCTGTAGCTCTTTATGATGCCTCAAACTTCTCTAAAAAGAATTAACATGTGAACGAGCTCCATGTGGTGATAGAGCGATAAACACGAATGACTGTTGAAGGTGAACATACCCTCGGAAAGTATCCAGGGAGAGCAGACGTGTTGGTTTAGCTTTAACAGCACCGTGTGCAGTTTCACTAGCATGTGATTCTTCCTGGAGAAAAAACAGCAGGGAGACAAAATAATGTCAACACTCACTGGGATAAAACACCAGTGTGGGTTACTTAAGGGGATTTGACAATTACCAGTGCTTTAAGCTCCATTCATTGTTGCACTTTTAGGGTTAAGGTCGCTTAAGCAGATATTTAAACCCCAAATCAAACTTACATATTTTTCATATCATATCTATATGTGTTTTCTAATCAGCAAAAAAAAAATCAATAAAGGAAGAAGAAGAAACACTTTTGACATCTAACAAATCATAAAGTTTGATAACACAAATGTTCCAAAAACATGAAGCACAACACTCTTAAGCAGCTTAATGCTCTACTTTATTAACTAGGTGCTAATGCTGTCTGACTTTGCTTGCTGGCCAGTTAATGTAACGTGGGCTCATTTCTTTAGATTTTACTTGGGAAATGGGAAAACGGGGGCAGTGTTTTGTTGACCCGTGATAAAATACATGGAAATACAATACATGAGGGATAAACTGCACTATTCCTAACAAGCTTTAAAGTCAGTATTTGGTACGGTCACCGTCATGCTGAAAATTCATTTTCTACATTGATACTTGCATCAGTTTTTACAAGATCCTCAACATCACCGACTGAAATGCAACCTCAAAACAGGACACAACCTCCACCTTGTTTTACAGATGGTTATAGATAATCATCTCTGCTGAACTCCTCCAAATATATAAAAAATAAATAAAAACCATGGATTCATCTTTCCATAAGACTTGATGTCCTACCGCAGTATTTTCTCCTTGTTTCACTTTCTTAAGAATTTTCTTAAGAACATGACAGTTTATGTATGTAGCCTTTCAGGCCTGTGACTTCTTCTTTTTTCCAGTTTCTTTACATTTTTAGGGACATCCTGCAGACCGTGCCAAGATGTGCCATGTTTCCAGCTAAAAGCTGTTTGGGAATTTACCTCGTCAGTGTAAAAATTCTATTTTATGTCATGTGTTTTTGTGACAGGTTGAAAAAACCTGGATAACTTTTGCCCAAGAGCACTTTTAAAACATTGCAAAAACATCTGGCTCCTTGGAAGCAAAATATAAAGAACTATGTGGAGACTTTTGCACACTGTACATAAAATGGCAACACATTTGGCTTTTTATTTGTAGGTAGCAACAGGTAGCAAACTTGTTTAAAAATACTGATAAAGTCAAAGGTTCACTGCTTCCTCATTCAGAACTCCTCAAATTCTCTCCGCCCCGCGTCTTCCCCCCCTCTCACTGTGTGAAAGGCAACATTTCGATGACTCTGGCCTGTTGCCCTCTCAGTTGGATTAGCCTGGCGTGCTGGCCTCCATGCAGCATTTTAAAGAGCCAGAGCAGGAAGACACCCGCGCTAATATGTCGTGATGGATTTGCGTGCCATCCAGACAACATATGGAAGCCAGAGACATTTTGCTTGAAAGAATGAGAGGAGCTATTCATGTTCACTGAAAATACATGGCAGCTCTTGCCATGAAGCCCGATGATTGGACGGATACAACACTGTATCGTTTTCTATGTAAGTCTGCTGTGTAACTGGCTCTGCTAACATTTATATCAATCATTCCATTAGTGTCTCCCAAACGGCTTGATGACTGGAGCCTCAGAGCAATTTTAGAATGCATCTCGGGCTGCATAGCCGGCCAATGATAATGGTGCAGTTTAACTGCTGGATCAAACAATATTTGATTACCAGAAAAAGGTTTCTACATGAAAGAGATCGTGTAGTTACTTTATATTTTGTATTTCAAGAACAGTAGCAAAGATTTACTGTATATTTAAAAAATAATTTGCTTTTTTAATTTAAACTCATAATGGACATACTTTGAGCTGTTTATGACTTATTTAATCAAAATATAATCTCATCTGACATAAAAAAAAATCTAATGTAATATATTTATTAGAAGCAGCATTTAACTTACATTCTCTTCTGAATGCTGTGGGCCTTGGCAGCAAATAGTCTTTATAAATTTTGATGTACAACGCCTCCTGGAAAAAGAAAAACTTTAGGCTGCCCGGTTCTGATGGAAAAGCAATCAGTGCAGGATTCTTGCAGATGATGTAAAAAACACACATGTACCTGCAGATGTAGGGTATCACAACGAATAACAGAGCGATTACAGCCAGCAGGAGTGCTGCCACCAAAATAGCTGGAAAAATAAGTAAAAGGAAATCATTCTGTACCATTCTCTGTCCATGTCAGAAACTTTATACACTACATCTCTATCAGACCAGGATCTGAGTGGGGATAAAGGGGATGACTGCCAGTCCAAACTGTCTGCTATACTAGCTTGTGGGCTCCCCTGTGGCTGTCTTTCAGTCAACCAATGTCAAAGGGGATCCCTCAAGTGACAAACAAGAACCTAATGAAAAAGTCTTGGTTGAGCCGCCGAGGAGTAATCACTGCGGGTAATCTAACCCTGCAGGCATGTGAAAATGAAAATGTAAGGCTGTGCTGGAACAAGGATGAGAAAACAAAGACGTTGCCAGACTGCCGGAGGGCGGCACAGATAGGAGCAGGGTCAACTTGAGGTTTACAGTGCAAGAGGGCACAAACACTGTAGCGAAGATGGATTTTATTTGCCCCCCCAAAAAAGGAATAGAGCTCTGAAAGCCACCGATTTGCAAACAAAGGGAGATATTTTACACCTGTAGTACTGATTATAAAACTACCTAGGCTTTATGAAATCTCCACATGGTCTTCTTTCGTCAAAGCACAGGAGAGCAGAGTACACGCAGTGGAAGAACAAACAAAAAGATGCCATTTTAAGCCGAGCTGAATCCACACAAGGACATCCACTCTGAACAAAGAGCGGTCACTTAATCTCCTCGGAAAAGTCATGGCATCTCTGGTGTCCATTCATAAAAACACCACAAAGCTCTCAGCGCATGAACCACATTAGAGCTCAGCCACAGACATGCTCGCTCCATCAGTAACCGTTGGTATAAATAGAAAATGAATGGTAGACACTGAAACAACTGAATTAATTTGAGTTCATTGATGTATAAAAGTCGAACAAAGACTTAATAGGAGTCGATCCTGTAGATTTCCTTGTAAGAATTAAGGGCTCAGCAGGTGACTTGTGGTCTGTGGTGTTATACAGAATACACTACTAACACGATTAAAGGGTGCATCTGATAGCAGCTTCACAGAAACATATGCTTAAAGAAATGATCTCATGCTGCTCTGTGGCCAATCAATCTCAGACACTGAAGTAAACTTTTAAAATTCCCTAGCAGAGCACCTCATACCTTTCTTGAGCTGCTGACCAGACCGTTACTTAAGGTGAACAATTCCTATGGGGAGTTTGTATAATCACCGGTCTGTGGAGCTAATGGAAGCTCATCATACTGTGAGAGGTGCAGTCACACTGACCATAACAGATAATGGCTACTTGGCCTTAAAAGTCTGATCTACAACATAATCTGCAATATTGTTAAGTAGTGTGTGCATTATGGAGAGAGGCGCTTTCAAAATCCCATTACGCCCTAATCCTTCCACACTCCCTAATGTATTACCCACAATGCTCTACGAGCCAGAAGCAGGCCTTCAAAACAAGCAGAAAAGCTTTTCTTTTATCCCTTTTCAAGAAAGCGAGTCTGATCTGATCAATACACATCATGTCCCAAGAGATGGATGAGAACTGCTGCTCAGTGGATGTGGACAAAAGCAGTGATTCTCTTCTTTGCTGACTCAATTAATGGGATCAAAGGCTTGGCTGGAGTTTGCAGACAGGTACCTTTGCTGTCACTGCGCCCTCACAGCCGAATCCCAGCAGTGTCGGTCAGGGATTCAAAACATGGAAATTTGTCCTCATGTATTTTTCAGTAGTGCTGCGTACTTACGCAGATAGGCATTATTTGGTCTTCTATCCACAATGTGAGTGCAGCTGCGATTATTTGCATCTAGGGTGTAAATCCAAATAGAGTAGTGACCACCTTCCTCATACGTTTGACTCCATCTGCATGCAAAAACAGTGAAATAGTCACAAAGTCTTAAAAGCTCCTATTTGATGCCCCGTTAAACTGTTTTCTTTAAAAGCACATTGCTGCTCTCCTGCTGCAGTAGCACAACTATAAAGCTCAGGAGCACCACCTAGTGTCTGAAGGCTTAAAGTGCATGCCCCTGTCTTCTCACCGTCTCCAGTTTCAGGCCCCCAAAAAACATCCCTGTGCAAGACTCGCTCATATTGATCCACTGTTGGGATGACATACTAGCTATCACTTGGAGTGTTTTTTTTTTTCAAACTGGGAAAAGTAAATCAATAGCAACACAGGCTGGTTAGAGACCTCAGCATTGATTTAAGAAGACCCAGCCCTTTGAAAGGACATAAAAAGCACAAAGGCTTTTCATGGTGCACCATCTCTTAGAGGTGGCCCCAAAATAGAAAGCTTTGCCCTCCTGTGTGGGATGTTCTGGGTGTTTATACATATTAGATCTGTCCTAACTGTTTAACATCCCAGCTGATTCTTCCCCAGGACATGTGGCTTTCAAGCTTTAATGAGCCCTTTTCATCAATATTGGAATGTCAGGTCTTATTAACCCCAAAACAGCCTGTGATCAATACACTGTGAGGTGGTTTAAGGGAGGGCATAACTCAGGTCCAGAAAATGGGTCAGGGTTACTCCTCCAACCCTGTAAATAATTTCACAGGCTGCTGATGCAATCATGTCACCACACCATATTATATCTTAAAACAAGAGCAATGCATTTTCACAGGCAAACAAGCAAACGAGACACAACTTGCATATTATTTGTTTTAAGTACCATCTTGAAATGTTTAACTTGTTACCTGCAAAAGGTTGCATTCCTGGTTTGTGATTCCACTTGTACTGTCAGAGTAAATTTGGTGCTGATTATTGCAGAAGCATTATTGTTGTTGGGTTTCACTGTGACCAAATGTTGGTACAAACACTGAAAAGCAAAACAAATAAATAATAATTAAATGGGCCTAGCATTAACTTAATAAAAATGAATAATTGTTTGTAAGTAAAAGACTAATTTGATTTAATGATTTAAAGGAATGTGCAAAAAGGGAAAAATAGTACAATTCAGACAAGCTAGAAAGTCAATATTTAATCTTCCTTTAATCTTCAACACAGTCTGAACTTGTAGCTTCCTTGTAATTTCTTTAAGTAGTCTGTTGGAAGAGTTCTTGAGGCTTCCTGAAGGAAAGTCAAAGCTCTTCTTTGGATGTTGGCTGCCTTTTGGTCTTTTCTCTGTCAAGATGATCCCACACTGCTTCAATAACGTTGAGGTCCGAGCTCTGAGGAGGCCAATCCACGACTGCTAGTTTTGCACCGTGTGGTTTTTCTATCCAGGTACGCTTTTACAGCGCTGACACTGTGTTGGGGATCATTGTCGTGCTGGAAAATGAAACCGTTGCCCATGCGATGCTTTCCACATGGTGCTGCATTGCGGATCAAAATTTGATGATTCTTTTTTGTGGTCATAATTCCATAAATTTTGACAAGACAACACTATCGACTGAAACGCAGGCTCAACTAGGATTTGGACAAAATTTGGATTCATCACTCAGTAAGACCTGTTTTTGTGTAATTTGGCATTCCTCAGCCTTTCCTCTGTTTCTTTTCTTTGATAATTTTTTCTAGACAGCCAGCCTTCCATTAAAACAATTTCTCATAAAACTCCTTCTTCTTCCTTTTCTGTCCCCCACTTGTCCAGTTTCCTTACACTTTTTAAGAACATGGAGCAATATGCCACGTTTCCAGCTAATAGCTCTGGGAATCACCTTGTTGATTTTTATGAGAGGATGCTATTAACAAAGTGCCTAAAGATTAAATTTAAAATTGATTCTTTGTCTGTCTTTGCCTGTGTAGACACAACACTGGTCCATCCCTTGAGTTAAGTGCCTTTTATATGCATGCATGATTCATAGGTCAGTGTTAAGTGGTTTAACAAACAAAACACATTCCTCTGGAATTGGTCAGGACTGAAAAAGAGTGAAAAAGCAGCCAATGTCCAAAGAAAACTTCAGAAGGCCTGGAGAAATATTGCTCAAGAACACTTTAAAACATTGCAAGAAAAGTCTGGCTTCCTGGAAGTAAAATATAAAGAAATGACAGGTGGCTCAAAAACAGTTGCACGGTAAAATATAATTAAAGGTTGGATGGTAATATAATGTGCAGAGCAGTGAATTTACAAGCCAAGACGGCCTACGTATAAACAATAGGTCTCCTCATTGACAAACTAAGTTGGGAAACACCCAGTGATAATTCCTTTCCAAGACTGTATGGGGTGAGTAATAGTGTTACGGTTTTACAGGGCAATCATAGAAAGCTTATTCAATATGAAATTACAGCATGGTTTTGTAATCTAACAATGCACTAAAAAAGCATGGCTGCAAATGAATTTTCAGAAATGAAAAAATACAAGTCCATACAGAGCCTGCCTAAGCAGGTAGTTTACTTGTAACATCCTCTCGTCTCAGGATTCAAACATTTGACATGAGGAAGCATACTCAAGGTTCAAAGTTCAAAAGGTATCATATGTTCCAGCCTCCATTATGCTGCTGAACAGCAGTGTTAAATTATTCAAGGAACAGCACATACTTGGACTTTAAGCACTAAATTTTTCTTACTTTATGCTTGTCTTGTTTTTTCATACAGGTTTATCTGGTTTTACGTATATTCATATGTCTCGTGATGTTTTTATGATGTTCCCTTTACGTTTCCTGATGTCTTTAATAATTCATGGTTGCTTTTTCCAGCAGTAACTGTAGTGCTGTACCCACAGCACATTCCTCTCAGAGACAATCAAGCTCATTTTATAACAAAGGAGAGAAAATCACACATTTACCTTATGTGAAATTTGACAACAACTTCACAGTGAATTACAATGTTTAACTTTACTGCATCTGTATGTTTGCTAAGATCAGTTTGCGTGACTATAAACTTTTTGAGGAACTGAAAGCGATTTTCCTGCTGATGCTGTGTCTTAATAAAACCACAGTGACGGTGGATATTCTTTACCTTGTAGCAGTAATCTGATGTGTAGGAAGCATGCACTTCTTCAGTCAGCTGGTTATGAAATATGAGCAAAGCCTGATCCATTTTCAGATGAGAGCCTGCATAGATTTAACACAGGCCTGATTTATTAGCTGAGAGTTCTCTTGGACATTATAAAGACAAGATAACAGAACATGGCATCTAATCACTATCACCACTGTGAGCGTGACACTGACTAAATTCCCATACTGACATGTCCATTTGTTGTAATTCAATTCAAACCAGAATTAAGGAGACCGAACAGTGACTTTCACAAGAAGATCAAAAGAGTATAGACAGTACAGTTTTTGCTGCTACTACCAGGACATTTGTGCACAGATGCCTTCACCAGAGTGATCCCCACCCTCCTCACCATTTTCGATGTGTCCTCCGATGCCGCTGGTAAAGAGGATTAACAAAGTTTGACTTGCATGTAGCAGCGTCCTGGACTCCATGTTTCTAGCCGTAACCAGTCTTGTCTACTGCTCATCTTTATAACTCTCACAATATAACCTGTGGCCAAAGGGCAGTATGCATACGTAATTGTTGGTTCCCTTTTCATGTGCTGTTTTGTGCTTACATTTAAGATCACATGTAATCATTGTCATGATTTGACATGAGGGATGCTAAGTAAAATCAGACTAATAATCAGTGAGTTTAAAACGGTCACAGGTATGTATCTGTGGCTCTGTATTAATGCCACAGTCAGCAGACACTCTCCGTTTCACCCCAGTCTAATGGTTTTGTTCTAAATCACAGCTAACTAAATGGCTTTAGCAGCACTCTCATTTCCAGGTCCAGTCAGCTGTTAAATGCTGATCTCCTGTCACATCCTCTCCCTGTTTTCATTCGATTAACCACTTCATTTCTCTGAGCGCTCACAGTGACAGATGAGTTCACCGGGGCAATCTAACAAGAGCGGGTTGTTAACCTTTGACATGAACTCTGGTAAGCTGAAGAGCCAACCTCCTTTTTAAATCTGATGTCAACTGGAGAAAAGACATTAATATCAGCAGGTAATTATTCTTAGGATTAAGTTCATGTTTGATATGTGTGCATAAAAGGTACAGTGTCTTCTCTCTTCACACAGCAAACACTGCTGCACTGGCCTTTGTGCTGAATCGTGCTACAATAGCTGGCCTAATGTATGCCTTGTGCAACAGATGATAGTTTATGATTAAACCCATGCTGATAGGTGGTTGAATAGCTTAGCAGCAGTGAGGATTTTTGCTCAGGCTCCTGCAAGGGCAGCTAGGCGGGGACCATGAATGGATTTATTCCAGTTGCTCTCACTGGCTCCCACAGCAGATTTGCATCTGTGCAACAGGCTGCTGGAGCTGAACCTCCCCTGTGCATGAAAAGCCTCTGCAGACATGGTGAGTACACAACCTTTCTACACTGTCTGCCACATGGAGCTGTTGACATTTCCTCGCTGTCACAGGTAGCACTCTGCTCTACATTATAAGATTATATTGCAGACTGACATTTCAGGTTTTCAAGCTAGATAAATACAATAAAGTGTCATGCATGCTAACATGAGTTTGGAGGAGGAGAGATGTTCACAGCAAGCCACGGCGAGGTTTGTTTGAAGTTTGAGGTTTTAACCAGCGGTAATCGTTTCTGTAGTGCCCATTCATGCCACAGATCGAGCAGATTAGACCGTTGCTATGATACCTGTTGATGTCACTGCTCGGTCTGAGGCTCTGGTCCTGACATCTGTCTGTTCTGCTGGTACATAATTGTGACTGCTCAGCTAGGGACAGAGGGTTCATATGTAGATTGTGCAATAAAATGCTATCTATTTGGACGATGTTATGCAATGTTGACTCTCCAGGGCTGAATGAAATAAATTTCACTTTGAACCTGTGTTGTGACCCTGCATCATGTGTTAGAGGAAAAGACCAACCACCACCACCCCCTCTCCACCACCACATGCCTTTGAACCAGCTAGATTTTTAAACTAGGAATGTGGCCTCTCATTGTTTCCAGATGGTTTCCTCTACAACCAATCAGAGTTTGTGTTTGTGAAACTGCCCCTCTCAAATCTGCTGCACTCTGCTCTGTCCTCACAGGCTGGTAAGGTCCAAGCTCTGACTGAAGAGGAGAGGGCCCACATACTCCCCCTGCTACGCAACGCTCAGTGGGTGGAGGTCGTTGGACGAGATGCTATTTACAAAGAGTTTATTTTCAAAGACTTCAATCAGGTTCTTGCATCATTGTCAAATATCACTTTTAAACTTAAATGACCCATATAACCGCTCTACCTTTTTATTTTTATTTTTTTATTTCTCCCCCTCCAGGCTTTTGGCTTCATGTCCAGAGTGGCTTTACATGCAGAGAAATTGGACCATCATCCTGAGTGGTTCAATGTCTATAATAAGGTACGCAAGCCTAATAATACTGTATATGAAAATAAGATTACAGCCTATGGGGTGGGGGTTGTTTTCCTGGCACCGTGGACAGCTGGCTTTTGTTACTATAGAAAAGCCCAACATTGGGATCATGAATTAGCTTCAAAATGACCTCTCTTAAATGTCATTTTTGCCTTAAAACAATAAAGAACATGTGTTTTTTTGTTTTTGAATTTAAAAAGTTTTTTTTTTTTTTTTTAACTCAGGGTTAGGGGAAGCTGGGATAAGTAATTTTCACCCAAAGCTCTAAAACACCAGATACCTAGTCGACACCAAATGTCAGGTAAACGACTAGCTAGCTGTGAACCGTTTAAAGATGGCAGCTGCAGGTCTCTTCGTCGGGAATTTAACCCATGACTGTGTCTGAAAATTGTGCTAACAGACTTTTCTCAGCGTCAAATGTGTAACCGGTTAATTACATCCATGTTACACGGCAGCCAATTTAGCATGAAATTGTAATTGAACACAGGTGTTACTAAACGCGTGTCTTGTGTAGGCACGAGCCCTAATTAATGTGATTAATACCACGTGAGTTTCTCATTTCCAAGTCAAAATGGCTTTTGCTAAACTTGCAGTGTTTCCTGTTGGACACTCAGGGTGTCGTCTGGTTTTGTCAAAACCTTAAAGGACACTTTCCCAGGGTCTTACCTTGTGCTCATGCTTCACCTGTAATGACTCCATAACAAATGGCGGCAAAGCTCTTTGTCGAGTGGTATTTTGAAGAAAACTCATTCAAATTTGCATTGATTCACCACTTTGTGCATTCTCCTTAACGCAGGTCCAGATAACTCTCAGCACGCATGACTGTGGAGGGCTGTCCCAACGTGACATCTCTTTGGCCACCTTGATTGACCAGGCATCTCTAATGTGAGCAGAATGTCACCGGTCAAGGCAGAGAAAACTAAAGTGCTCTTCACATGGGTTTTTATTTAAATGGGGGTGGTAATTATAAGCTTAAGGAAATGGTATACATTCCAATGGTACATTCATCTTTCTGTCCCAACTATAGGCCCATTCCTGCCAGAGCGCAATGGAGCGATGCTCCGCCAAGTTCTGAACAAGCGAAGAAATAAAATACTGTAATTGAACTAATCTGGCTTAAATTTAAACGTCATTAAAGAATATCTAATGATCCAATAAACCAAACTGTATGGTCAAAGCTATAAAACTGATATTTGCAGCTTATTGCGTATCTGTTTGGAGTTCCCAGTCAAACTTTTTTTGGGTGGCAGCATCGTATAAATCGTACATACACGATTTACTAAGCGCATGTGTATACAATTAACTTCAAACTGCGCTGAAATTAATACCGGGAACACGTCTGACAGTAACTGTGTTACATTTGTTTTGCTCCAAATGATGAGGGTGCTAAAGCTTTGGCTGTCACACAACCATAAGGATGGTTAATACAGGCAGCAAGTTCATTTCTTGACAGTGATCTGATGGGTTCGCGATGTTTCAGGGTGTTGGTCAGGTTTCCAATCAGACTGGTCCATCATCACATGACGTGCAGAGAGGAAAACAGTAATGTGCGCATGCAGCACAGTAACTTCATTAACTGGGAGTATGGTCAGGTCCTGACCGTAAATGAGTTTGTGTTCGTCTACACCGTATTGTACCGCAGTCAAGTGAGCCCTCACATACGAAGTCACAGTCAAGATAGCCGCACCTAAAATGTTGTTGCACTATTCTTACGCATATTACGGTACGGGTGCCGAATGGCTTAGAAACGCGAGTTTTCTGTATACTGGCGTTTCACGATTTTACTGCTCAATCCACTTCGACTTTTGAAATATTAGCAGTTGATATATAACAAATTACTTTATGATTCTCACACTGCATATTAAAAATAACAAAAATGTTATATATATTATATATATTCTGTAAGAGTTGATAATATATACAAAGCATTGTCTTCTCACTATACTGTACATTTCTGTTCACATGACCTTATGCCCAACTAAATAAAAATTGCTGTACTGTATTTTTGATATTGTGGGGGGGTTTGTGTTGTTGTTTGCTTTGGGGTTTTTTTGTTACAAGAAAATTGTTTGAGGTGCCGCTAATATTTCACTGGATTCTTCCTCTGAGTTACCTCCACTCTTCCTCCTCTGCCTCACAGCCCAAAGAATTTTACAGTTTCAGAGAAAATTAACAGTAAACTCTACTCAAATGACATTACAATATTCTCATCTTTGAACTGATAATACAGGGAAGCTGTAAGAGGTGACGCCAATATTTCACTTGATTCTTACTCTAGGTCATCCTCACTCTTCCCACTCCGACTCACAGCCCAATTAACTGTATGGTTTCAGAGAAAATTAACTCAACCCAATTTACATATTCTCAACTTTCAGCTGATATTACAAGGAAACTGTAAGAGGTGATGCCAATATTTCACTGGATTCCTGCTCTGGATCACCCTTCCTCTTCCTGCTTACAGCCCACTGAACTGCCCACAGAAAATTCTACATAGAGAGATAGACAGATGCTGTATTTATCCTGCCACATAATGAAGAGTTATTGTACACTTATACAGAGAGAACAATAGGAATGATTTCCTGAAGTGTTCTTCGTGGCTGAAAGTTTGAATCAGTTAGAGGGAGGAGCCGTGCTTCTTTACAAGTGTGGAGTGGAGCAGGTGTGATGGGTTGTCCATAATCTTAGTGACCTCTGACCCTTGCTGACTCAAACTCCCCCAAATTCTCACCATTGCTGTTTCTAACCTTGCAGAATAATTTGTTCTTCCATTTGAGATTTCATTCACTTTATCAGTTGAAATTACAAGTTACAGCGCGCTGGGCCTCAAATCAAATCACGTCCATCAGCAGTTTGAATATTGTGAAAAAAGAATAGCATATATGTACATTATGGAGTGCACAGTGTTGAAGTTCCGGTAGGTGAGAGCGAGGCATCTATGAAGTGTCACTGTTCAGCAGTCCGATGGCCTGATGGAAGAAGCTGTCCTTTAGTCTGCTGGTTCGGGACCGGATACTGCAGTACCTCCTGCCTGACGGAAGTAGTTTGAACAGTGTGTGACTGGGGTGACAGGAGTGATTGATCCTCCCTGCTTTCCTCTGACAAAGCCTCTTGTACAATCGTGGCCAAAAGTTTTGAGAATGACACAAATATTAGTTTTCACAAAGTTTGCTGCTAAACTGCTTTTAGATCTTTGTCTCAGTCGTTTCTGTGATGTACTGAAATATAATTACAAGCACTTCATACGTTTCAAAGGCTTTTATCGACAATTACATGACATTTATGCAAAGAGTCAGTATTTGCAGTGTTGGCCCTTCTTTTTCAGGACCTCTGCAATTCGACTGGGCATGCTCTCAATCAACTTCTGGGCCAAATCCTGACTGATAGCAACCGATTCTGTCATAATCACTTCTTGGAGTTTGTCAGAATTAGTGGGTTTTTGTTTGTTCACCCGCCTCTTGAACAAGTTCTCAATGGGATTAAGATCTGGGGAGTTTCCAGGCCATGGACCCAAAATGTCAACGTTTTGTTCCCCGAGCCACTTAGTTATCACTTTTGCCTTATGGCACGGTGCTGCATCGTGCTGGAAAATGGATTGTTCTCCACCAAACTGTTGTTGGATTGTTGGAAAAAGTTGCTGTTGGAGGGTGTTTTGGTACTATTCTTTATTTATGGCTGTGTTTTTGGGCAAAATTGTGAGTGAGCCCACTCCCTTGGATGAGAAGCAACCCCACACATGAAAGGTCTCAGGATGCTGTTGGCATGACACAGGACTGATGGTAGCGCTCACCTTTTCTTCTCCGGACAAGCCTTTTTTCAGATGCCCCAAACAATCGGAAAGAGGCTTCGTTGGAGAATATGACTTTGCCCCAGTCCTCAGCAGTCCATTCACCATACTTTCTACAGAAGATCAATCTGTC